ATGATTCAACATCATTTTTGAGTTATAATTACTGGTGGAGAAAGTCAGCAACCAGATCCTCCAAAAATGAGGACAAAAAAATATCTGGTTTTCTAAATGATAATTTTTTCTTTAATTTTGTCTCTCCTTTCATGTGAATTTTGAAAGTCCTCCTACCCTCTTGCTAAATTCCTCTACCAACAAAGTCACTGATAAATTCATGAAGGATATATAAACAAATTAACTGGAGGATTTACAGAAATTTGCAAAGTAGATTCTGCAAAACAGCACTACTTCTACCCATGAGCACTTTGTCCACATCCCATGGTCAAACAGTTTGACAGAAGAAATAAGAACATTTACAGTCAATAAATGTTAATCAATGCTTTTGCCCTTAAAACACGCTGCACCAAATATTGCCTGAATTTCTTTTGGAAAAGCTGACTACTTAACCCATTTTCTGAGGATAACAAAATAATAAAAAGACCAAAAATAAGCAAGAGGAAAATAATTCTTGAATGGACCTGAGAAATGTTATCCACTGATAATAGTTAATGTCAATTTTTAGACACACTGGCAAGTGGGACTGGCAATGAAGACAGAGAAAATCAGACTACCAGCAAATAAGATTTCTCAGAGAAAAGACAATTCACATCTCCCTAAAACTGTACAGACTTCTTACTTCAGTCTCTCTCAGAATAGCTGTTGATCCTTTCTCCATCTTCAGTTTTTTGATTCATTGTTTGATTTCTATTAGTTCTACTGCCAGCCTTCTTCATTCATAATTCACCCCTTACTAACAATATTGAAGAAAAACGTTTTTAAAAGAGCTAGAGACTTACTGGAGCTGAGAATATTCAGCTGGGATACAGAAGAGTTGGGTTTGAGAAGCAGATCCTACAGTTATTTCATTATTTGCAAAGGAAGATCATTCTACCAGGAGAGACTTCATGGTCAACGCAGGTATTTATCATGATCTAGCTAAGGCAATCACTTGCACAGTTTGATTATTCCTGCAACCCCAACTGTTATGTGAAATTTTCTCTAATTCTCACAAATTTCAACAGTCTACCTTGTGGCCCAGAAAAGACAACTTTTGAACATTAGCTACAGCAACACCGCCTATTTACGCTTAAATTGGCTTAAGCAGGAACAGATTTCATCCCAAGATTGCAACTCTCATTTGCTTTGCTTACATTTAAAAACTGTTGCCAATGCAACTATATTAGGAAACAGGTCTTAAAATAAGCAAATCCTTGGATTTATCCCGAAACATTTTTTCCCAACAAGTCTTTTTTAAAAAAAGGTACTCAGCTCCATCTGGTGGATTGAGATTATTCCTCTCTGAGGCTGAGGACTGCACAATACTAATGGATTTATTTTCCATTTGTTAAACATCACGCATGCATGCAAAAGGCACGAGTCCAAACTGCTGCTATGTAGATACCAACCAAAGCACTACGAAGTTATCCCTCCTACCCAAAGGTCCATTAACACATCTTGTTACTGCCCTTAGCAGCAGCAGCACCCATCCTCAGCAGACCTGTCTTCAACTCAGAAATTTATTGTATTTTGCCCTGTTCGCTATGATAATTATAAACAGAGAGGTCAAAGAGCACTGAAGCTAGGCTGTCTAACAAGACTTAATTAACTATTTCAAAGAGTTATGCAAAAATCACTGGAGGAAGGGAAAAAACAAAACAAAACAAAACCAAGAAAGCCTCCCTAGTAAATATTAACATGCTCTTGCAATCTGACCCTGTAATACTACAAAAATTCTCCCACTAATTACCCCGCTATATTATGACAAATTTTAGAAATAGGTGTTTCGCAACTGATGAGAAGCAAATTCTCTTCAAAAGGGAATATCTTCATTTAAAGAAAACATCTTACAATGAGTTTAGAGGTTCCTAAATGTATGTTCATCATTGCTTCTTCCTTTAGCATACATTCTCTCAGCTTATCAAATACTTCTAATGAAGAGCCAGAATGGTTATTAGAGATATGTAAATTTCATTAAAATATATTTTAAAGTGAGAATTGACAATTATAAAATTCTAAATCAGAGTTTCTGAGGAAAAAACAACTAACAAACAAACAAAGGGAAAAAAACCAAAGCATAAAAAGATTTTCATCATCTGTCTGGTGTGACTAGAGTCACTAGTCACTATGGTTTACCTGTGTCAATGAAGCAATAAGATCTGTAACTATAAAGCCTTTAAAAAAACCCAACCAAACAAAAAACCCAAAGCATACAAACAAACAAACACCTTTTTACTCTATTCATTTTACAGGTCTGAGTCTGATATTATTTTTATAAGTGATATTTTTATAAGATATTATTTTTATATAAGATATATTTTTATTCTTTTATATTAAGGAAGTATAGCTAAATTTACACTGTAGTAATTCAAAACAGAGCAGGGACTGCATGCCTATAGACACAGCTCTCTATGTACTGTGGTGTGATTTTGTTCATCTAAGCACAAGCACAAAGTGCTTTAATAGCATGGTAGTTCACTTGAAAAATAAAGCCTTCTGAAACACTTTGCCTGTCAGTCACCTACTGGCTGTTCATTACACTTTATTCTCCCTGAGCCAGACATCAGACAAGACACTGACTTTTCTAACAGTCCTCTTGAATAAGATAAATTGACACATCTATTTAGTACACAGAGGGCAAATCCTGGAGAAAAACACCTTTTCCTCTTGCTATGCTGTACAGAATTTTTAATGCAAATCCATCTGAGATATATCTGTTTTCCCAAAATAAGAGGGAGATTTTTAGCTCCTTTGTTTGAGGTTTATTTATTTTAATTAAAATAAAAATGAAAGCTGCGTGGTTTGCAGCTTTTCAGAAGTCCTTTGCTGCCCTCATGTGTTTCACAGGAAAAGTAATCCCTGAAGTCTACATACAAAATGACACAGCTTCTCCAATCAAGACAACTTCTCCTTTTATGAACAGGGCATAGTTCATGAAAACAGTAACTGAAAAATAACTGAAAATTTATCTCGTTGCTCTATTAAAGCTAAGTTGACTGGTTTGAAACTTAATGATTATATATTAAAAATAAGAAAATGTATTCATCTTGAGATAATCATAATTCCCAAGCAATTAATTTCAAGGCCAGCAGGCCAATTTAGTAACAGTTGATTATGTTAGCCTGGTATGGAAAATGTGTAAGCTCTAATGAAAAATATGTTTTGAAATAAAACATAGTTTCAGCATTTTTCTGCTGCTTACAGTAACTGACAAAGTAACTCCTTTCCTGTTCCATTATACTATACCATAGAGAATAAAATCATGCAACTGTTGCATTAAGGCTTCTGTTACTTTCACAATCAATACATCCAAAGCTATGGGGACCATATCAAACTTTCTTTTTACACTCCTGCCAGCCACTATCCTACACTTCTCCCAAGGGTCTCGGTGCTCAGCTACAGTCTGTTGGATTTGGTCTCAAAATTTGGCTGCTGAGGTTCAGACCGTCCTTGAAAAGATTTCACAATTCAGTTCTTATGTTACTGTTTTCATCCTCTCCAGTACCTATCCTGATCCCAGACCTCATTATGTCAATATGAGTTTGTAATAAATTGTAATAACATCTCCTATGCCAATCCTGGGTTTACAATGATAAACCATAATAGAATAATCCATAAAATCTGCTTTGTTAACAAGCTCTTTCATACTCTGGTTATAAGACACAAATAGCCCTCCCTGTACCAAAACGGGTAGCAATTCAGACAATCCCCCAACAGCCATTCCATGGGAAGGGGGAAGGCAAAGGCAGAGCTGGATCACAATCCCCACAGCTTTGTTCAACCCTGGACACAAGCTCCAAAGGTAGGATCAAATCATGAACTTTTATTTATATTGTCAAGAGGTTCCTGAGCTGCCATGACTGTTTTATCATTATCTACTGGCCACCATGTGAGTGGTGTTAAATGCTAAATTCTCTCTTCACTACAGAAATAAGTAGAACTCCAGGTACAAAGCAGAATAATGATTTTATTTTTCTTTTCCTCATAAATAGAAGGTACCTGCATTGTAAGTGTTCTGCAAATAAACACAAGTTCTCCTTTATCAATGGAGTAAACTGGAAGGAATTGTTGTCAACTTATGACTCAAGTGCTGGGTTTTGTTCTCTCTTCCCCTAACAGAAAACAACTCTGGTACTGTAATCCTACTGCAGAAAGGTGAGGGGTTTGTTTTGGGGGGGTTTGTTTGTTTGTTTGTAAAATTGCTGTTTAGTTGCTCATTTTAAAGAAAAATAGCAAATGCAGCACAGTTATTTAAATACTTCTTCAGTCACCATTGGGGAGATACCAGACATCGGTCAAGCACTCAGACTGCCTCAAACCCTCTCAAACAAGAGTAACTATCCCAGAAAGGAAATAGAAAGTAAAGATACGTGGATCTCTTGTGTTTTCATATGATATAACTTCTCTTTCACAACCAGATTATTGAATGCTACATGCTGAAAAAAATGAAAGAACAAGTACTGGCACAATTCTGCACCTCACACTTTACAAACTCCAACCAAACTTTGCTGTTACACAAGACAGGGACAGCAGCAAAAATTTGCACCCTGACTCTTAAAATTTCACCCTGTGAAAAGCCTTATGTTTCCCAAGCACAGCAGTGCCAGGTCAGCTATTGGCACTACAGGGAGGGCACCTGTGCTTTCACCTTTTGGTTACAAGCTGATGCAGGGTGGAAAAGCAAGAGAGATGAAACATAAAGCAGATTTAAACATATAAATACCTTACTTATACTGTGTAAAAATACCCCGTGATGGAAATTAAGAGAGGACCATGTTAACTCATACTGGCCTAATGAAGTCTTTAAACACCCAACGCTAATCTGCTTGCTCAAGTACCAGCACCACTCATCTCCAAGGAAAGCACTATAAGCATTCACAGGGTTTTCCTCATGTTTTCTTTTAGCATAACCTGATTCACATCCGAAAACCAGATGCTGGGGGGCACTGGCTGCGTAGCTCTTCTCTCCCCACCCGTACCTTCCCTTGCTGTGTTCCTGACGTCCCGGAGAGGGAACACCTTCCCCTTCTTACTGGCAGCCCAGTTCGCAGGTACCTACTAATTTTCGGCGAAGGGTTTGCATGAACTTTTAACCAGCAGCTGACCGAACGCTCAGCACGCCTCGCCTGCAGCCCTGCGTGTCTCTCCCACGGAAAAACAGGGCTGGAAACACGGGCTTTCGCAGCTGCCGCTGAGCCTGAGCCGTGCTCGCGGTACACGGCGCTGCCCACGCCGTGTCGGGCGGGGGCTGCTCCACGTCCCGCCTCGTCCCGCCCCGCCGGGCGGTGCAGCCGCGGCGGGGGCGGTCCCCACGCTGGCCCGGGAGCGGGGCGCAGCCTCCGGGCACCGACTGGGAGGAAGGGAGGTTTCGCCCCCTTTTCCCCCACGGAAACCCACGGGCCTCAGGCCCCACGGGGTGGCGGAGCGCCCGCCGGGCCGCGCCCCGCCATGGCATGGCGGTGGGTGGGCGTGCTGGCGCTCCTCTGCTGCCAGCTGCGGGCGGGCAGTGCCGCCCTCCAGGCGCCTGCAGCCACTCGGCCCGGGCAGGAGGGCGGCGGCGGTCCTGGCCGCCCTCCGTGGGACGGAGGCGGCCGGGAGCAAGAGGCAGCGGCGGCGGCGGCCCTCCGGGTAGGTGTCCCAGCCCGCCCTTCCACTCGCCATCCGCGCTGCGCTGCGGGACGGCCGCCGGGCTCCGCCGGAGGAGCAGGGGCGGCCGAGTGCCGCTCAGCCGCTGCTGGCCGGGAGGCGGAGGAAGGCGGACCGGCAGCTTCCTCAGCCCGCAGCGCCGGAACCCCCCCTCCCGCCGGCCTTCTGTCCTTTCCGCAGATCCGCGTCTCACCAGATCGCTGGCACTGGGGCCGCTGCCGTTCTCGCCTTCCCTGTGTCCGACGGCAGGTGCGAGCCCCGGGCCGGGCCGTGTCCGGGTGCCCGCGGGTGTCACCCCTCCGGCTGCGTGGAGCTTGCTGCCAAGAGCTGTTTTCCCAGGGATATGGGGCCACTAGGAGAAGGGGGAAAAGGCGTGCAGGCCCTTCCTGATGTAGTACCACCCTTTTGCCCATCGTTCCGGGGCAGGGGGTGGTCACCGGGACTGAGATCCATCTGACTCCCGCCCCAGGGGTGGTGGTGACGGCCAGTGTGGCGGGACCGAAGGTGATGCCACCCGGGATGCAATAGCAGACCACTGTTGCCATTGAGGGAGTCCGATGAAGTCGTCATGGAAAACGCAGAAGGTGGCAGGAAGTTTTGTATATTTCGTGTTGAACTTCCTCAGCAGAAGTTGGAGGGTCAGATTGTCCTGTTTTCATAGCTCAAACCCCTGTTTTTCAGAGATCCAGGATTCCCAATAATATGAAGTTTAGGGGGTTAAAGTCTTTAGACCGTTATGCTCTTCTTTTGCTTTATAAAGACATGAAACATGGTAGGGTTAATTCTTATCTGAAGAAATTTTTACATATCTCTGAACCACAAGGTTTGTTGTGCTGTGAAGGAAGGATGTCAGATAGAGTTTGACACAACTTGTTCTCAGCTTGCCTGTTTTGTCTGCTTCATATCAATTCTTTACACTTAACAAGTGTTTTTTTGATCTTTCTTGGAGTTGAAATTAGTCTAATGGCTTTCATATTGGTTTGCTAGGAATACATAACGAATCTGAGGGGAACAGCTGTCTTGTTACATTCATGTTTACTGTTGCTAACATTTTCTTTTTCTGCTCTTATAGTTTCATCACTACTACTAACAAAAATGTCCGCTTTTTTTTTTTTTTTTTCCTTCAGGAAAGTGCTAAAAGAATTAGATTACTGAATTCATCATCAAGAGATAATACGACTGCTTTCTATGGGATAAATCAGTTTTCTCACCTGTTTCCTGAAGAGTTCAAAGGTACATTTTCTGGTTGCTGTTAATACCTTTTCTGATATTTTTGTTATTCTTTCCCGGAACCTTGTGTCTTCCACATTCACAGATTTTTCCCGTGCTGATAGTCAGCTAATTTATAATGCCTAGTACACAGATCAGTACTTCTGAAGGATGCAACAATACTCTTCATATTCTTCAGTCTTGCAAGGTTGAATTGCTCACAGCCTGCATATGTTTTAGTATACAGATAGTTCTGTCTTTCCTTCTTTCTTCTCACTGTGCCTTAAAGTCTTTTTCAGTTGCATCAGTTTTAGAAGTGGAAGATACACGAGGTTCTTGAGTAAGTTCCTACTGCCTATCCCAAGACAAAACTGGCTACAGCCCAAATAGTGCTTTGAGGTCCATGATTGTACAATAACAGCTATGACTTTCTGGAGCAATGTAACATGCTTTATTTTTTCCCTAGAAAATTTGTCTGATATCTAACATAATTTTCCCTTCTTGCTGTTCAAGTCTGTTGCTACATTTTCTATTTATCAGAGGATTTAACTCCTTTTTAAATTTTAAATAATTCAGCAACTTTTTTAGTGAAAAACCAACAATTAGCAGGTGTTTCAGAATTTTTACCTTATTCTGCTCTTACTTTCCCTTTGTACCTGACTAAAATAGAATAGTATTTTTTAAGTAAGTAACATGTGAAAATTTTCAAACAAAACTTGTTTTATGGAGTGGTTATTGTTCAACTTTAGAAAATATTCACATTTCCTACCCACATTTCCTATATAGAATATTTCTTTTCTTTCTGGAACTATAGGAATATTTACATTCATTCTGGAGTATAATGATTATGTTAAAATACGTGAATTTTCTATGGATTTGAAAATGAGATCTAAACTCATGGTTTTAAATACAGATCAAAGTTACCTCTCTGACTTCTAGTAAAATAGTGGTCTGTGGAATTTTTTCTTTTGTTAGTAGATTTATAGATGTTTGTATTCTGTGTTTAGCTATTTACTTAAGAAGCATACCTCACAAACTTCCCAGATACACAAAAGTGCCAAAGGGAAAGGAAATACCTTTGCCAAAGAAGTTTGACTGGAGGGACAAGAAAGTCATTGCAGAAGTGAGAAATCAGCAAACAGTAAGTCCTAGTGTTTTCCTTTCCTGGTTCTCAAGCACTGCTCAGAGACGGTTTCAGGGGGTAGACTGTAGAGCACAGTGAAGGTTTAGGAAAGGACCAGCACTGCCTCAAGACTCCTTGGAGAGCTGGCATAAGTACGACCAGTTGAATATATAGAAAGTCACATAGCATTTTTTGTGAAGTGGGATTAGACTTAAAAGGATGAGGTGTCAAAATGGTGCATTTAGGAACTGTGCATTTATAACCTGTGCATAATACATTTTTTGATTTAGTTAACTAAATCTGCAAATATTTTGCATCCTGTGTATCTTGTATTTTTCTGGAGGGACCAAGGTAAGTTAGTACCTGATCTCATCCCCCTTGGTTTACCTGTATAGATCCTTTCCTATTGTTTGTTCCCATGATCGAATGCCCTTGGCTGGTCAACACCCATATCTTTACCACTGAGCACCTCAGGGGATGCATTCGTGATAGGAAGGTGACCAGACCCCACACGACTACAGTTTGTCCCAAAGCAGTTATGGTAAATGGTAAGAAACAAGTTGTTAAATCCCCAGTGTCTTTCCTTTCTGTGCTTCACATTGTGTAACCTGGACCTTGTAAGGAATAAATTATGCTTCCTATTTTAAAGGCCTCAGTTTAAAGAGCATAGAACTGGAGTATAGATTCTGTGACTATCTAAGAGTTTTTCTGTTATGTTTAATTTCAGTTTACCATTTCTTAAACTGTAATCTAATACAGTTCTATAAAATTCTACAAAAATTTACTAATGTGCTTAAAAAATTATTTAATCCTGAGTCCCAATCCTTCTTTAAGAAAATAGATATCTCACAGTAAAAAGCATCCTCGGACTTATCTTAAAGGGCAAAAATCATCATGAGGGAGTCCTTGATGTAAGACAACCACAAAGTAGGAATCCTTAAAATAAGACATCCATAACACATTTCTGGCTTTCAGAGAAGAGTATAGGGGGAGCAGTATTTTAAATGGATGATTAAATTTCTTTATTATTGCCTTAAAAACAAAGTTCAAGGATGGTGTAGTAAATGAAGAGCATTAGACGACTCTTTTGACTCTTTTTTTGCTTTTCATATCAGGCTTCAAAGATAAACCTGACTTTTTCTTTCTCCTGTTTCCCTTTCTATCAGTGTGGAGGCTGCTGGGCTTTCAGCGTTGTGGGTGGCATAGAGTCAGCCTATGCAATTAAAAGAAACAACCTGGAAGAGCTGAGTGTGCAGCAAGTTATTGACTGCTCATACAATAATTACGGCTGCAATGGGGGATCTACTGTTAGTGCTCTGAGCTGGCTGAACCAGGTTTGGAACTTTTTATAAACCTCAAACCCTTCATTAACTTTCATAGTACCATTCTTATTTACTGGGAAAAAGTGATGGGGAAGGTGAAGTGCAGAGCTCATCTGATGAGTGTGTACCTTTGTATGTGCACATACATATGTGTGCATGTACACATGTATACGTATGCATATTTATTTAGCATCCAAGAAGGATGTTGACATTTTCTGCTTTCAGATTTCTGTGGTTTCTGTTGCAAACGCTGTAAAATTATGTATAAGTATGGAGAACCTCAGAATAAAATGGATTGTGTTTATTTTTGTTTCACCTGCAACCCAAAACATTGAAAATGCAGACATAATTTCTACTTCAGTTGTACCTAACACGTTTCATTCATGAAAAATGAAAAATGCGTGTTAATAACATATGTAAACAGAAACATTTCAATATCTTTGAAATAAAAAGTACTCTCTCGGATTGAATTATAAGAATGTGAAAAGAATTCCTTCATTTTCTGAAGTTTAAAAAACCACTGTTTTTTCCTTTTTAAGAAGCTGTCATTCTACCCCTGAAGATTCATATAACCATGGCTAATAGGAGTCTAGATAACTTGTCTAAGTTTATATTTCAAGAACAACAGAGGATACTCATCTTGATTCCTCTGAAACAAAATTCTGTCTCGCTTGTCAACAGAGGGACCACAAATGAATTAGCCTGGAGAAGTCACTGTAGATAAATATACTGTGCTGCAGAAGACAAGGAAAGCATAAAAGGCTGACACAATAGCTTTGTAGCTGGACTTTAAAACATTATATAAACATAATATATTAGGATGAGGATTTGATGCTAGTAACAGAATCAGACTTTTTAGTATTTTATATAGTTTCTTGGGATACATGTGC